CGCCCACTCACCCACTCACTCACCCACCCTCTCACCAACGCACTCTTCTTCTGGTATTCCGTGGGTTCGAATCCCAGGTCCCGTCGATTATTTTTTTAGGTTAGGCAGCACCATACTTGTGCTCGTGGGTTTCACTAAAGAAAATTCTGAGACATGCATCACTCCAGGCCTTTCTCCCACATTAAGCTGACATCCTGTATTTTACTGGAATACTGTTCAAAGCAGTGTCAACCCAGCTCACTGACTCTAGTACTTCATCTGTGAGGTTGAAAGAAGAAACATTGGAGTAGACACAATGAAGGGGAGGGCCACCAAAATTATGTGACAGTTGTGTCTCTGTTTTGAGGTTTATAGAACATGGCTATAACGAACTACAAGGGACCAGAGAAATCCTCCATCTTGGATAAAACAAAACACAATACACGTAATTGCAGCATTTACTTGTATTAGCAGTGATCACTTCATATCATTAAAATATTAACATTTAATAACATTAAATTCATAACATTTTTAGAACATTGTTTATCAAATATATATTTAGCATTTCAGGATTTACATATGGGGAGATGTGTAGTCTGTGGTTTTGCTCTGGCCTTGTTTTGCTGACTGCATTTGTGAAACTGCATAGGTTTAATGTTTGTTTTACAGACAAGATTAGTTTCAATTACATGTACAGGTAAGATTAACATAAAACAAATTTAACAAGGTTGAATCGTCACTGCTGATTGTGTTCATTTGCTGCTGATTGCGTAAAGCCAATTCTCAGTGACACTTGACACTGCGAGATTTCTCAATTCTCTATTCACATCACTAATTGGTGGTATTTGGGCTTTTGGGGATCAGATATCAGTTCGCTTTATACGTTAGTTTGCTGTAGAGGGTTTGTTATGTACGTAAATTTTATAGGATAATATATGGGAGATAAATCCGGGATTTTTTAACAGTTTGTTGTATCCGTTTGTTCACTCTATCCGTGTTCTACTGTAAGCCATTTTTATGTAACAGTGTTTAGTTAATGATCTGATGTTTAAAGGCACTGAAAGTAGTTGTGGTTTGTTTTTTTACTAAAACCATGTGGTAACAAGAAACCCATACTCGGGAATCGTACAATGGACTGCTTTTAGCAGAGGGTTTTGTCGTTTTTCTTGTCCTTTTATTCATGTCAACTTGTAAAGATATCCTACTTTGTTTCTCTAATGCAAAAAGCTTTAAGACACATGAGGATTGTTAATCCCTGATAAAAATAGAAATTAATCCCAATTAGGGAAGTATAATTTGTTAAATTCACATTCATATAATATGAACATCTGCTGGAATTATATAGTAGTTTGTGTGAGAATAGTTATTTTATGGTTGGTGTGTGTCAGTAAGGTGTTGGAATTATTTGAGATATTTAACTACAGAAACATGATTTCAAATAGTTAAAAACATCTTTGTTGTATTGTTGCAATAGTTTCACCACTGCAGCAATATTATTGAGATATTATTCGGAAAAATTCACCTTTCAACAATATATTTTTTCTTGCTTTATACAGCATGATTGTCAACCCTAATATGTATGTGTGTCATGACTGATGCGCCACAATTGTCTTGGGCCCAATGGCAATAAATTGCTGACAAGTTAATATATGAATTGTTGACAATGATGCCATGCTCCCTATTTATCTAATGTTAATAATTTGCTTTTCCATTCTGCTTATTGAAAATACACATTGTGTGAAGAAACATTTTGGGTACGCATTCAGAAACTGTCATGAATTTGTCAGACAATGGTCAAAGGTACCTTCCAATTGCGTGGATAGATGTTCATATTGTCAGTCACTGGACTGTCTGGTTCACACATGATTATTTACAGACCGCAGTCATGTAGCTGTAATATTTGCTGAGACCAGCATTAAACAACAAACAAAACAAACCAATCGAAGTTTCCTTGACATCCAATCTCATTAAAATCAGATCTTAGTTTTCGCTACCGCTAAACAAAGATCTGAGGACATCCCATTACGGTTCACGTCAGAACGACCTTTCGCGAATTTTGACCGACCAATGAAGTGACTGACAAGAAATCGACATTAGCCAATCAGAAGGCTGCTTTCTCAAGCTTTACAACACTAGTTTCAAACTGGCGACTACGCTTCGAAACATATTTTGACATATTCTCGATTAAAAAAATTAAAACTGGTAAGAAGAACATTCTGGAATGGCATATAGATGGCCTAGATTGTATGGATATAATCATAAAACCCTTTTGTTCAGAATACCCCATGTTAAATATTTCGTGGTTGCATGATTAGAAAACACATTCTGACTGTCACTTTCATGATCTGGTAAGCGACGCTCTGATTGGTTGGATGAAAGGTCGTTCTGACGTGACCCGTAATGGGATGTCCTCAGATCTTTGTTTAGCGATAGCGAGAACTAAGATCTGATTTTAATGAGATTGCTTAACATCCTACTAATAACTTTGCAAGTAAGCAAAGCGTTATCATTGCTTATCAAAGTATGACAATAATATTGCACTCCATGTTGCTTATGTGTCTGTCGTGTACAGTAAACTATGTTTATAATGAACACGCTTATAATGAACACGTTTATAATGAGCATGCTTATAATGAACATGCTTATAATGAACATGCTTATAATGAACACGCTTATAACGAACTGTTCTTTTGGTCCCGGCCATTTGCCATATTTTTTATCATATAAAGTTGATCGATATAACGAACTAACTCATAACGAAATAGCTCACCTTGTAGTCCCATGTGTACTCTGTCAATGATAATGTTTAAGTGTATAGTGAACTGTTAATCCCTGAGCTGAGATCCTCACATGTCACCAATCTGCCTATCAAAACATCCACGGCCAAATACTGCTCTTCAAGGCGTCAAAAAACAATCAAAGTACTGACACCTTGTCCTTAAATTACACCCTCAATTAACAATAGTAACACAGTGATTGAAATGGATATATTCTGTACATGTACAGTGCACACTTTTGTTATTTATCAAGTACCCTCATGTCACATGAACTACAATTAGTGGTCCCTTTGAGTTCATTACAACCATAGTCTACTGTATATAGAGTAGAATTACACTAAAGTTTTTTTTGTGAGTAATGACGTAATGGTGTTGGTATAGATGTAAACTCATGAATGTTTTTGTAAAATACAAATGACAAAGTATGGTATTCCCTTGAGGAGTAGATTTTCATTATTATACATTTGTTTCTCTTTGTACAAGGGTTGATTCTGTGCCTCAGAGGGAAGGAATTGCATGACAGTAAAAGTTTTTGTTGTGGACATCACATGATGTCATAGAGGTATATGTACAATACTTTGATTCAGTTGAGCAAATTGTTTCACTGTGACAAGTCAGTAATGCATGGTCTATGACCTTTTGAAAAATGGACAAACTTGCAGAATGTGCAGTGATTAACTACTTGCAGAAAACAGGCTTAACTCCAAATACCATCCATGAAGATATGAGTACAACACTAGGGAAGGATGCGAAGGACAGTAATGGGGTTGGCAACAGTTTAAACATAACAGGGAGAACCTTGAGGGCAAACCCAATCATGGAAAGCTACACCAGAAATGATCCAGAGAAAGACGTGAGGATCAGTCAATGACTGAGAATCATATTGCTAGTTCTGTAGGAATTTCCCAGGAGAGTACATTACATTACCACAGAAACATCTGCAATGAAGAAGTTTTAGCTTCTTGGGTCCGAGAGCTTCTGACATCTGATAAAAAACGCACAGGGCACAGCACGTCTCATGATAATCTAGTTCTGTTTGAAGCCAATCCAGAAAGCTTCTTTCAATGATTTGTGACTATGGATGAAACCTGGGTTCACCACTTCAAGTCCAAACAACAATGGGAGCATTTGACATCACAACCGCCATAGAAGGCAAAGACTGTCCCATCAGCTGGAAAGGTTATGGCCTCCATGGAATGCTGAGGATGGACAATCTTCAAAAGGCCAGACAATAAATGGAACATATCATGCTGCACTTTTGAGGCAATTATGGTTATGAAATTAAGATGAAGAGACTTTGGAAGCTGAGTAAAAGTGTGCCCTGAGGACAATACGCCAGTGCACAAATCAGTCATTGCCATGGTTACAATCTATGTGTGTGAATTTGATCTTTTTCATCACCGATCTGATTCTCTTGATCTGTCTCCATCAGACTTCCATCTGTTCTCTAGCCAAAATCCATTTCGACTCAACGGATGACATCATAGCAGCTGTGGAAAACTTTTCAGACTGCCACTAGAATTAGTTCTACAAAACTGGGATAAGATCCCTCCAATATCGTTGGCAAAAGTATATCAATGTGGAAGGGAATTATTTTGAAAAAGATATAATTATGATGTCTTCAGGTCAAGTCTTTCTATGTGAGGCTTATCCTTATCAAGCACCCCTTGTATTCATCTGTAGAAACTGTGGATAATCTGGCATCATCAATATGAACTATTTTAACTTGCCATGTCCAGTGTTTTTTCAGGTGAACACTTGACATGCCTTTGCATGTGTTTGTGATGGGTGCCAACAGTGTGGTTCACCTTTTAGCGAACACCTGGTATCATCACTATTTGATAGTGATTCATAAGAACATGCTCATGATATGGTCAGAATCGTACAATCACTTTGCTTTATGCAGAGATTTCTATTGGAAATAGAAAGGGTTTTGTTTCTTTATATATTTATATATTAAAAGCCAACAACGAGGAATGACTTTTCATCATAAATATTTTGTTGACTGAATAATTGAACAGGTTTTTCTGTGTATCTACTGTATTGACTATAACATTGAAATATGTTGAATAAATTGTAGTACATGTAGTGCCATAGTTTATATATGTATAGTGTCATTGCAAAAACAATGAAGGCAGTGTGCATGTTAGAGGTGATGATGATGATGATGATGATGATGATGATGATGATGATGATGATGTTGATGATGCCCAGATGTGGAACAAATTACATGACTATCTTTAGTAGAAGTTTCTTTTTTATTCAAGAGTCGTGGCAACGTAGAGCTGTACAAACGTTCTCAGTAAGAAAGCACAGAGATTAGAGGGGTCAAGGCCAGTAGGGGGAGCCACTGACCCACACCAAACTAGCACAGAGGTCATTCGTGACACATTATAAATGCATGATCAAGCTTACTTCATAAACATGAAAGCACAAGTTGTGGTTTTATCAAAAAAATTTAAAGGTGTGTAATCTCAATATAAGAAATCAAGGTTTGAATTGAAAATCAAAGTTTATATGCTTCCAAATGTTTTTATTCATACATCAACCAGATTTGGACATTAAAATATCATACATTCATATTTACAAAGTAAGCTAAATATCAGAAACTGAGTAGATATATGAAATATGCATGTAATTATATTGTTCAACACAAACTGTTGCCATGGTAATTTACACATGTTAGTTCAGCTTGTGTATATGAATAGTGAAAGAAACCCATTGGCTGATACAAGAAATTGTTTGGAACATTTGGAACAACTGCATCACCCAAATCTAAAATAGACCAATTGGGTATATACATTATCAGCAAATAGCTAGCACTGAAGGGACACCTATAAAATTGAAATTGCAGAAGCTAAATGTAATTGTCTTGAAAGGGTGAAATTCAGTTATTTCCACAAAAGAAAAACTGTTTGTCATATGTGCTATGCCCATGTGTGTGCATGCAACACAAGGTGTTTCTTTAATACATGTACTTAGTTCAACCATCCTAAAATGTCCCTTATGTGGAATACAATATATTTTTTTCTACTTGTCAAGACAGCTAATAGTCAAAAACCTTCAAAATACATCACCAAGTGAGGAAGCAAATATTTGACTCTTCGTTAAGATATAGAAAAAAATTTATGTTACGCCACAACTTTTTTGTTTTTGACTTTAAGAAAAATGTTCATAAAATTATTTTCTTATTTTTAACACCAACTGGAAATTGTGATTATAAATAGGCCTTACTTGAACATTTTCACTGTCTGAACAATGGTGTGACGTCGTTATATTTAAAAAAAACCTGGAAATCGTGTGGTTAAAAGGCCTTACTTAATCCTTTCCACAATTTGAAAAAATAATCTGACTTTTTTAATCACCTTGTAAGCTTGGGAAAGCCTTCCTGGGACATGGCATAGCCATAATAGAATAATCATTTGTTCCTGATACTGACATTTTGGGTGACAGAAAAGCTGAGCAAATAAATACAAAGTTATCATTCCCCTGTTTTAAGTACATCTATTGTCAGAAAATCATTGTGCATCAAATATTTGCAACTATGTACATAGAAAAACATATATATTTACATATGAAATCTATCAATACTAAAAAAAACAAATATATAAAACTCTTCATTACTGGATTTCTTATAACACTTTACCAGTTTCATCTCTGATGTACAATTCACATACAATCTATTCATAGCTGTCCTTTTCATTTAAATATTCACATCAGAATTGAAACTCATATTAATAAGATTGTTTCATAATAATCCATGAAGCCACTTTTCCATGAAGATTTGGCACTTTAAACACTCACTGTCCAATCCTTTGGCTTGTCAGATACATGTATTGTCAGTGATTATTCTACTACAGTGTAGTGTCATTTTGAAGGTTATCAAGTTACAAAATAATGCTGGTGTTTCTAACTCGATGCCTTGTTTGTTATTTTGGTGATCTAACAGTTTTGCAAAGTAAGATTCAAGAGTTGTTATATATTTATTTCAAACATTAATTCCGTCATAGAAAAATGCTTGACGTGCAACCTTGTTAAAATACAACATACTATTTGTTTAGTGTAGCAGTTTGGATTTTATCTTTTTGGTAAACGGTAGTTGTTTTTTTACATAATTTATTGGGAAATTCTTTTTGAATCATGTTAGTATTTTCAATGTGTTAAAAAAATTCAACCTTTGAAAAGTACATAATTCTATTTACCGTATTCAACGTAATAAGCGCCCGCGGTGTTCTCAAAATTAGATATAGGGGGCTCTTATCAGAATATAATTTTGATGAGAAGAAAAACAGACTTGAAAGATTGTAAATTTTGTAGTTTATCCTGACAGCCTGAAATGATACAAAAGAAAAGTATGTGCGTATCATACACTACAGATACATTTTCCAGAATTTCATTGCCCATAATTAAGGGTGCATATAACACACAAGTGGGTATTATACATAAATAAATAAGTCTTGTGTATATTGATTAATCAGAAGGGGTGCTAATTGGGATTGTTCACTAGCCAATATGTTTGCAAATATCGCCATTCATCAGCAAATGGGCGCTTATTAGAGCAGGGCGCTTATTACATTGAATACAGTAAATCCAACAGCCAAAATAAGGATCAGTGTGTTTGTAGTGTCTACAAGTTTTCAAAGGGAGACTCCTGATCGGTTACTGACGTATGTATAAAACATCAAGTTAGAGAGTTTGGTTTTACGCCGCTTTTAGCAATATTCCAACATATCACGGCGGGGGACACCAGAAATGGGCTTTACACATTGTACCCATGTCAGGATTCGAACCCGGGTCTTCGGTTTGACGAGCGAACGCTTTAACCACTAGGCTACCCGACCGCCTATAAAACATCAAGAGGCAATGAATGGATATGTCAACTCATCTGTGACAAAAATGTAGACAAATCTACACACTTCCTCCTTACTTATGTGGCATCCAAATGATAAATGCAATTCTCCCATCCAAATGATAAATGCAATTTTCCCTTTTTCTGACTTATTTGATTCATTTTGAATGTTAAACACATAAGAAATAATGCAATAAGACTAGATGACTGACACGAAATTCAAATGCTCCATGAGTCGAATTGCATGTTGAATATGAAACACTGCTGTTTCAATGTCTGTTCTGAGATAGGATATCCCTAGCAACTGGTGACAATAACACACATGATGAAAAGATCTCGACCAAACTGAAACATAACATTTTTCACTTTGACCTCCATTGCTATGGATTCTGCTTTTCCAAGATGGAGATGTGACATGATTGCTACACAAAAGCAACAACACAACATATTGGTCTATATTTCTAATGTCCTTGATTAGAAATAATTTTAAATCAATATAACTACTTTGCATGTTTCACTACAAGCATCACACTGAATATGTAAACAGGAAATAGTTTTGTTCTGATAGTATATATCTGCCTCACTGGTCATGGAAAGCTTGGATTGTCTCTGCATGCTTTGACCATTAGGTCTGTTTTAGTTGTCTATTTAATTGTTAATGCCATCAGTCTTGGTAGTGCAGATATTTGGCCTCATATTCATTTAAGTAGGTTTAAAAGACAGACCAAAAAAAACAACTAAAATTAGGAAAACAATTTCAATGATTTTTGACAATTTATATTTTGGATGCCTTTCTTTAACTGTTAGGTAAAATAGGAAAAAACCCGTGTGATTTTATCCCTGCTGTTCATAAGGAATTGGTGATAAATGCGCATAAAAATCTTTATTCTTACAAAATCAATTATCTTTCGATAAATTCAGTATCTTGCCATGTTAAAACTTGTTTCTTTTCCCTTCATTATTAGCAGTGCTAATCTGGACGTTGAAATTTAAAAAAAAAATTCAACCACCTACATTGAATTTTAGGCATAAACTATTGTAAACCAGCTAATAAAAAACAATGAGTGAAGGCGTTAACCACTATACCATACTTCCCCTGAAACTGATGTAACATTTTTATTCAGTGATAGAAAGTAACATAGAAAGTCAATTAGCCTGAAAATTGTTAACATATAGAAACACTCACCAAACATTTTTTAAAAATTTCTACGAGCCGTTAGGACACCTTTAACATCAACAAAACTGGCTCTGGCTAGTGTGCCCATTCAAATTTTGTATCCCAGCCTTTTATTCAAAGGGACCTGTCAGCTATCAGAAATGGGTGACCAAATCAGAGGAATGTGTATAAAAATCATGTATTTTGAGAAAGGGTTAATTCAAAATAATGAAATCGATGTTTGTTGTTTAAGATTAAACTAGTGGTTTATTTCATTAAAAAAGCAAAAAGGACCAGAGGACATTGATAAAATATCATTGTATTTCTATATATAATGAATTTCTGGTCCCTTATTGAATAAAACGGACATTTCTTAATAACTGTGTCCCAATACAGAGAAATGTAAGTAGTGGTACACAATGTGTATAGCAGCTATAGTGAGACATTCGAAAGCATCATCCATTTGTACGGCGAGGCAGACACCTACATCAGACAACAACAGAAATGTATATTGCAGTGCTTCATCACAACCTGTAGTCCTTCAGAAGGAAACATCAAATCCCATCACCAACATGACCCTGCAGTAGCATACACCATGAGTCACTGCCATCAGCACACACCTCACCTAGCTCATGGACAGGGAACTTGCCTGGTACACTGACAAGTGTACACTGTTTGAGTTCAAGTTATATTACAGCTCGTGGCATTCAGGCCCCAATACATTAATCATTAGATTTTCATCGAATTATAACTTATGGTCAAGCGGTGTTTCACGCGGCACTCATTGGAATGTGTTCAAATACAGTATGAGCAGTGCCCTGTCCATGATCTGTGCAATCCTCACACAAAGAGTCCACGAATCACAAACATTATATCTCACAACACACATCTTGTTTTGCTCTTCCATCACAACATAATGTTATATAACTGTAGCTCTTCCTTGCTGTCTGAAACCATCCATCCTCTTCATTGTTGGGTTGGGCACCTGGGTATACATGTATCTGTAAGAACTTTTCAATCTATGTGACAAGTATCCTCACTGCCAAACTTTTATCAGTTTGGCAACAGTTAATGTTAAAAACATCATATACCAGTAAGAACTATATTTGAAGAGGAATAATTATTTATGGACACAAGGTTCCATTTTTGGTGAAAAGAATTATTCTAAATTTTATTCTGCTATCGTTTATTCATTAAGAAGTTCACTGCAATGATACAAGATGAAAAGATTTTGCCATCTTCAGATGTACAGATCTAATTTCACATTCGTAGACTTGAGTCTACTTTCAGATATGCTTGGTTCATCATTTTTGCTCACCTTAGATGGAAATTAAGATTTCATCTGAAGATTTTATTAAGAAAGACTATTTTTTCTTGAAATTCATTGCTTTCTGTCATCTTCTTTCTTCATTAGCGTCTCCATACTCAAGATTTGACAAAACAGGCCATCTGATCATTCGAAATTTAAATAACAAGTATACACTTCAAAGTTTTCTTTATTATTTTATCATTTTGATGATATTTACAGTTTCTATTTTCTGTCTTCAAATTACTTTTAGAATAGCTTCATGCTAAAATTGGTGCAAGAAAAATCAAAATGAAGTAACACAAATTCTATGAGATGAACCGAACAGCCGTATATCTGTGCCTAGTAGTAAGTATTTCAAAGGTTAATTTCAAACCAATTGTTGCACTGATAACAGGCTGCCTTCTGATTGGTTAGTGACACAAGAAAACATGGCATACGTGTATTGCACATCTGTTATATATATATATATTACATGGCATACATCATATACAATAAAACACAGATTCCAAAAGGGACTTCTACGATCAACAATAAAATCAGTCGAAATTCAATTCGAGCGACTGACTGTTGCTAAGTAACCAGTGTAGGTCACATGTCCTGGATGGAGATTGACCAATCGCCATTGAGTACTGAGGTAGGGAGATATAATGTTCTCCCTACTCAAATGTTAGGGAGAATTCTCTTTGTCAGTGTAAAATCATCACTAAACACAGAAATGATCACGATTCACATGTGTCTGAGCTTCAGAGGAATCTGCAATGGTAAGAAGGCTTTTACAACAGTTCACACTGATGATATTCAGAGTTGTCTGCCCTTTTATCATAGTTATCTTTCTTGAAAGAGTTGTCTCCCTTGAAATTCCATCACTTTGTTGGCAGAGAGCCCCTATTAAACATATTCTGACAGTGTCATTGCAACCATTTATTGCCATTGTCAGGTTTAGGGCATTGGCTTGTCCAGTTGAGACTAGGTCAATGAGTAATTGGAGATTTGGGTAAACAATATAGGCACATGGTGTTGATATATATATTTAACAACATTTAACATCCAAGGAAAACTGTAGATTTCAATAGAGGAAAACAATTTGGACTTTATTTGACAATAATGTTGATGAAATTAGCAGTAAGAGCTTAAATGTTTATTCAATGGAAGTTTTAAATGCATACATAAACATTGTAAGCACAGACTACAAGAATTAAAGCCATAGAAGCAAGAACCATCAACATATAAAACTAAATGTATTTCATTCAATGTACATAATCCAAGTACATGAATGCTTATCTGTGTGTTTAATCTTTAGATTATTAGAATTTCTTCAAATGATTTTATCCCCAAACCTGACAAATGGAATTAAAAACAATAAATAACCCGTCCTTTTTTGAGTGCAATGCTTGATGTTGGTCCATATCTGACTGAAAAGCTCACTTGTACCAACAAAGTCCAAGTTATGCATCATACAAGCTAACAACAAGCCTTCAGAGTATGTTTACATATAAATAACTTAGTGATGTTGCCGGATACCTGAGGCTCCGTGTTAGTCAACTAAGATGAACGTATCCAAGAAGATCAGATGCAATATGATCGGTATCAGAATATATACTGTTCCATTCTGATGGCAACATCATCACCAAGATACATGCCTTCTGGTAGAGTCCCACCAGTTCCATGACAAGGATAATGTTGTCTCCCTGGGTTTCATATCTGTACATATTCAATATTGTCCACTGATTCAAATGCTGGACACATAGAATAGATTTCCCCCACATTCTTCTTGATCTGAAGATGACCAGTGTAGACCTTGAAGATGTGTTTTGTTGTTTCAGAACCTGACAGTCTACACACTGTTCAGAACACGTTTTCCTCTAGTAACTGGTTCATCCAACACTAGGTGGTTCAGACATGACTGAAATGGGTGCACATTTTAGTACACAGACATGATGACTTGACCATTTGTACGGCTTCTCTGTATACCATGATTCTTATACATGTCAATCTGTACAGTGACATCTAGACACCAATAGCCTTCAAGAATAAGGCCTATGTACAGTGTACACCTTGCTTGTCATCATGTCCAGTGAAGACCATTGGCATCTGACATGGAGCTCTCAGAGGATGATGTTATGTACAGAGCGCACCATCAATAACATGGTGGAGGAGAGAACACAAACACCTTTCTGTCTACTATCTGTGCCATGACAGAGATGATGCTGTCCACATCAACAATGTGGTCAGAACAACGGGAAGCAACAGACACAAAGTTGTTGATGACAAGTTTCTCCCCCTTGAGGTCTGTGGCAGTAGCTCCTTTGGAGTTGTGTACCCAGGAAATTGTCCTGTAAAAGAAACATTGGCCATTGTGAGTTTCTGTTATGGTACGTTTTATACACTTATACTTTTTTTGTCAACCTATTCTGTTTTGAGACTTATGTCTCCAAATTTGGATTCTACATCACATGGACATAAAAAATGGTAAATATATCCCAAATCTGTGTGGAAACATTTTATAAGGTCATGGTAAATTTCATGATCTAAATGTTTTAACTGTAATTTTTCTGTCAGAGTGTGATCTCTGAATATGTTCATACTTGCTATCTTTTTTACCCAGTTATCCATACAAATGACATGGGGGCAATTAAAATGAGAGAACATGAAATTAGTAATATGTAATGTCTTTTCATGAAAATGGCATGTGTGACAAGTCTATCTTCTTCATTAAGCATAACAGGGAAGAAAATATAACAACACACATCATCTCATACAAAAAATAGCACTGATGTTTGTTTCTCAAGTTCAAAGAAATATTGTCATTATCACTTACATGCTTGAATATTACATGCAATTGTAAAGGCAAAGGTTTGGCTGAAGTGAATATTATCAGAAAATAGCAGAACTGAATTAAACCAAGTTGATAAACCAAGCTAAAGTGAAATGTCATCTTGGGTTATACATTGGCTGTTACTTTAGATAGATACATGCAAATAAAAGCAAAAAAACTCTTTAAATATTCATAAGATATCTCTGTCAAAAAACAGAGACGATTGTACGATTGTATGAAAACATGGTGAGGTGTTGTGAATTGGGTTTAACGTCGCGTCCAAGATTATTGCACTTATATAGCGACGTGTGTGTGTGTGTGGCTGCTTGTACTAGTCCGGACTGATGCCAAATTATAGTGCTAGCTCACTGAGATACCATGCCACAGTTTAACATGAATACCCCACTCAGACACAGTATACTGACTCCGAGCCGACCAGTCCTTGTTTTAGTCCCTTAATGGCGAGCGCCAGACAGGGTAACAACAAGTACCATCTTTTAACGTCTCCTGGTATGACGCAGCCGGGGATTGAACCCATGACCTTCTGCTCTCCAGGCGGACGCTCTACCACAAGACCACGGAGGCAGTCTATGATAACATGGATAATACTATGTGTATAATAGTTTTCTCCACAAAGATGTTTTAAATTTATCTCTCATGGCATAGATGATGTGCCTCTGTTCAATAGAATATATTGTGGAATGACAAGAAATACCTCGTTTGAAGCATTTCATGATCAATAGTAGCACAGCAATTAGAAAATAAACAATTGCGAAAGAATGCAATTTTTCTCGGCAAAGACATATTGCCTTGAAATAGTTATGCAAGCTAATTTCATCTACATGCAGAGCATGTGCAAAGTGCATGGTGGAAGATCAGATTGCAGTCTGAATTTTAACACAAACCAACCAATAACGTAAGCTAGTAATATGAGATTAAACATACCATGTTAACACCATATATTCGCAAAATATCATTTTAACATGCCTTGGATATGAGTTCAAACATGCAATAAAAAATTAATGCTACACATATCATCAAAACAGTTACTACACACCTTTTATTTTTAAAATTTATCTATATATGAATCACACTGAATTAACTTTGTGACGAGACAATGATTATGTTGACCACTGAAATTGAATCATTTCTTTTTCTGAAACATTGACAAAATTTTCATTGAATTGTGCATGCTGCATCATTTGAGAAAGGTGACACTTTCCATAGTGCAAAGAAACACAAAACTGAGACTGAAGTTTATAGACTGTACGGCCATGCATGTTGAATGTGAAAAGTGGAAATGTGTCATACTTGTACCTAAAAATGGAATATATCCTGACACAAAGGCAGAGGGGAAGAGAGAGAGAGGGTATTAATATACAGATGATAATACATTTAATGTATTTTGAATTTATTTTTGTTTAAAGCTGCGCTCAGCAATATTCCAGCTATATGACGGCAGTCGTGTCTGGACCAGACAATCCAGTGATTGACATCATGATCTACGCAATTGGGATACGAGTCACCTCTTACAACAAGCATGGGTTGCTGAAGATCTTCGAAGGTCTTTGAATTTGTATACTCATACAACACACATAACTAAACATAATAAATGCTTCCATGCAAGGATTGGGCAATAACTCAATTCCACAAGGAAAAACGATTGTCAGAGATATAAACATACAAAAGGTTTCATTTGCTTATTAAATAAATGAAGATGAAATATTAGTTGTACAATATACAATAGTGATTTTAAAAGCAGTAATTATGTTCAATGAGGATAATGCCTGTTTGCTGCATTGGTTGATAAAATGAGCCCACAAATTATGTAAAAGCCTTGAAAATTGACACTGCAAAAAGCACTATTCGCTCCCACAAACAACTCCAACCAATCCCAACCAACACTACTAACCCCTACCAACTGCAACCAATATCAACCAGTCCCAACCAACCCTACTACCCCCTACCAACTGTAACCAATATCAAACAACCTACAAACCCCAACCATCTGCAACCAATCTAAACCAGTCCGAACCAACCCTACAAACCCCCAACGAACTGCAACCAATCCAAACCAACCCTACAAACCCCCAACGAACTGCAACCAATCCCAACCAGTCCCAACCAACACTACTAACCCCTACCAACTGCAACCAATCCCAACCAGCCCTACTAACCCCCAACGAACTGCAACCAATCCAAACCAGTCCAAACCAATCCTACAAACCCCCAACGAACTGCAACCAATCCAAACCAATCCTACAAACCCCCAACGAACTGCAACCAATCCAAACCAGTCCCAACTAATCCTACAAACCCCAAGTAACTGCAGCAAATATCAACCAACCTATGAATCCCAACCAACTGCAACCAATCCCAACCAGTCCCAACCAACCCTACAAACCCAAAACAACTGCAACCAATCCAAACCAGTCCCAACCAACCCTACAAACCCCCAACCAACTGCAACCAATCCAAACCAGTCCCAACCAATCCTACAAACCCCAAGTAACTGCAGACAATATCAACCAACCTATGAATCCCAACCAACTGCAACCAATCCAAACCAGTCCCAACCAATCCTAAAAACTCCAACCAACTGCAAACCAGTCCCAACCAGTCCTACAAACCCCAACCAACTGCAACCAATCCAAACAAGTCCCAACCAATCCTACAAACCCCAAGTAACTGCAGCCAATATCAACCAACCTATGAATCCCAACCAACTGCAACCAATCCCAACCAGTCCCAACCAACCCTACAAACCCAAAACAACTGCAACCAATCCCAACTAAAGCCAACAAATCCCAAACAACCCCACAAATGCCAACCAGCCCCAACCAATCCCACAAACCCCAACCAACCACGCTGAAGTTACAAATTAAAAATTTCAACCACACCTAAGCCCCAAGATATGGATTTGCCTCAATGACACCAAAATAAGATCATATAATTCTTTAGCACATGATATGAGTTACCCAATCAAGATGCAGCAATAAGGAGAGTTGTGCACATATAAATGTTGCCATTTACTCATTCTGGATCCTTCAGTGCTCCTAATACTCTACTTTATACCACATCCCGTCAAGATGCATGCAGCTACACTGAATACTCAGATTTGGTATGCAGGAAATTCCTATCTATTTTTGGTAGAACATTTTAGAAATAAGTTACTGAGGCATTTTGGTATATATATATATATAACTATATATATATATAACACAAATACTTATATCTGATGCACGTATATACTTTTTTGATATTTCATTCAAAAATAAAAACCGGTCTTGGAAATTATTTAAAGAGTTCTTTGACAGACAGCTTACATTTTTAATTTTGTAATTTCTTCTTGAATTACAGATATAGACATGATTAGTTTTTCTTCAGAACCTTTTCATAATTTTAATGTTTCCCCAACTTAAAAACATGAAAATGTCAGCTTGACAAACAGCCCTAATTACTGCCTCGTCCTTGGTGTGTTTGGTTTATGGATTTTATAAGAGAGATAAACAGAGTAAAGAAATCATATCACCATATAGTGTTCCACAATTTAGATAGGTACTTCCATATGCAATTGTAAACAGCATCATTGGTAAGGAACGTCTGGTTCCTTACCCCATGTTAAATGCATCAGTCAGCAAGATGGTTGATTAATACCTGCATTGCATCAAACTACACAACACATGCTTCTTTCGTTCTAGTCTGAGTAACCATTGATCAAGTTTGCTCCATTTCATAAAAAGATTTTCATTTACAGTCTGTGTGAAAAACAACAATCTTAATATAAACAGTCAAAGCCAGAGAATAACCAGTCTTGATTATGCACCCAAAAAGATTCCAATCAACATAACAGGCAAAATAGTGGTGAAAATATTATTAATGGATCACTAAACATCATTGATGACGGGAGGTGTTAAACTAAATTTTGAAATAAGAGCAATATTAAAATGAATTTGATGATTTGAAGAAAATGGCTTTTTAAGATGTTATTTTTGGAAAGATATGACGTAGCTTCAACATATGAAATGGAACAAACTTGTTTTGGCTTGGATTCGAAGAGGGTTAAAATTGGAACCATGAAAATGCTACAAAAGCAAGATGGAGGAAGACAGGGAAGATATCCTTACCACGTTTTACATTCACGGACTTGGCTGGAACATGCAACAAACAAAAAATAAACATCAGGTATCAAACACATTTAGTAAAATTTATTCATATTATTAAAATGATAAAATGTAAATAAAGATGCTATAAAGCAGTATCATTCATCATGGCATACTGATAAACTATATATGTAATGGCAGTCTTATGAATCAAAATCTAAATGACTTTGAGACTAAAGTAAATTCACACTTTGATAATTTAATTTAATATTATTGATCTCTTTGCTTCACTAATTGGAAAATATGACACTATAAGTTGTCAGCTGATCTCGAGGGGTATATGGTGTGATGTACCCTGTGTGTGAGCCTATGTACCCCGCGCAATCAGGTTAAACATCGGCTCACACACAGGGTACATCACAGCATATACCCCAAGGGATCGGTTAACAACAAATTTATCTCACCGACATTCATTCGTACAGCCTCGGAAAATAAGTCCGAAGTTCGCTGATTAAAATTCAATTTGATTCAGCCATTTTGACAGCTAGCAGACGATGCTTCTGAGTAACTTCCCTGTACCTAATGCATTCGGATAAACATCGGTTCATTTCAGCTCAACAGTACTTATGTGAGATAAGGAAGTTACCTAATGTGTGTTTCGATTGATTTCTCAGCAGGGAACATAAGAATGCTACATGAGCGGGCTACATGGAAAATAATTGCCCGCACCTTAACCAATCAGAAGCTAGTATTTTAGTGTAAGGTGAGATAAAGGTTATTGCCTATATTCAAACAAAAACATTTGTGACTAAGATGATTATGAAATAAACCTGATCACATTCTGTTTTGTGATGCTTAATGCTTGCATGTGCTTTGTAATATAATTGTGCATTTGTTTTGCTAGAATTAATTTTCACATTGAAAGTGTAACAAAATTAGATGGTAGCAAGCATGGGTTTATATGTCTTTTTTTGTAGCATGTGCAAAAACAAAACAACATAAAGAAATATTGCTATATATTGCCATGTTCTACTGATTGTCAGTGAAAATAGAAAACAAAATTATTTTGTCAAGTACTTTAGAAATATCTTTGATTCATCTTGGTGTACATTTGTTTTTCTGTCACAAAAACTGATGATTTAGGAATTTGTTCACTAGATGAATAATCTACAGTTTATATGCTTTTATCCTATATTCATATAAGGCCACAACATATCGAATATTCTTCTTCTGACATTTTGTCCAAAAGTCATTATACAGGGTGAAAAGATTAACAGTTTTTTAATAAAATGTTCTATTGTTTTCAGAACTAAATTATCATTTTTCTTGTAATATGTTCATATTTCATAAACAGATGGACAAGATAACAGATAACTGACATGAGAATTGTTTCGCCATTGTTCAGCAAGGTAGTCACTTATTACTTCCATGTGGTCAGAAAATTTTCACTCCCCCCAAAAATTATAAAAAATGTGACAAACAGGATCAGATTATGAAGATGAATTATATTTTTTATTGTAGCCTGAAACCTCATCTTCGCTTATATTCTTTTATCAACTGAATAAAAATATAATTTGACCTATATGATCTGTATGTTGTATATACTGACATAGTTACACTATCTTTGGTCTTTTTAACTCAGTAACCCAATCACATGGATTAAGGCAAGTCAGTCTGGCTAAGAACATACAATCCTGCTTTCGGGTTGTTTCCTCCAGTTCTTTATGTTTCATACTTCACATTTATATTAATGTTGAAATGTATTGTCCACTTTGTCATAACAGTGAGTGAAATTGACAATCGATTGATGAAAAGAAAGTGAAAAAAAAAGATGGCAGTGTATCACTCACTAACCTGATTCGTCATTTAGGATTGTTCCTATAATGAATATGCACATACCTTAGAAATATAAAAATATTTTTTTCATAGATTTAAGACATAATGTATTCCAAGGTGTTTCCTCTGATAATACATGATTGTTTTTCCAATTGCAAATAAACATTTTAAATTATTCTCTTTCCACAACCTTACACCATAGCGGAGCCAGGTAAGTATAGGTAAACATAGGAATTTGAAAAAGTTCAAGCAGAATACGCACCATTGAGTACAATAACTTTGAGGCTTGCAATGTGATACTGTGAGCTCCGGCAGACATAGGTACCGGCATCGGTCATGTTACTTCGCATTATCTCCAACTTGCTATGTACTGTTTTGTGTATTCGTGTGGGTATGCTGTTAATTGAAATTCTCTCAGTCTGCCGTAATTTTATTCCATCTTTAAACCAGTCCACTCCTTGAGGAGAATAATCTTTTGCTGATGCTGTGCAGTTGAGTTTAATTGTATCCCCTTTTTCTACAAAAGGTGTGCCCATCAGCCTGATTCCTGTAATGAGATAGGTTTATGATTATGTAAGCATGAATGTCGGAGATCATTTTGAATTAGCATCATGTACAGTGCATTTAGATTTCCTTTTTTATTAAATATTTACCGATTTTATGTTGGCGCACTTTCATGAAAAATTATGATTAAATGTGTACAATATGTTTTTGTTCTACTTAAAAAAAGTTATATGTGAAAAGCAATCAGATATTTACATTTTCAATATGTCATTTATTATAGAAAAAATCATTGGACTTAATATAAAAGTTGCATGCAAAAAAAAACACTGAAAGAAGAATCAATAGTGGCTAAGTATGCATAGTATCTCATTAGAGACAGTTCCACCTGAAGACAATTTCATCTGAAGTACAGTCAGATTTAAAGACCTACTCCATCTTGTCTTGGAGACTTCATCTGAAGAACCACCATCTTACTTGTAGGACAAGTTCACTTTAATTACCTCCTCCTTGAAGACCACTTAATTTGAAGGTAAAACGTTTCCCAAAGAACCACCTGACCTGAAAAACCGCCCGACCTCATGAACTACTCCACCTCATCTTGAAGACCTCATCTGAGAACCACCACACCTGAACAACCATCTCCCCTGAAGGACAATTTCACCTGAATGTACAACCTTACCCAAAGAACCACCACACCTGAACAACCATCTCCCCTGAAGGACAATTTCACCTGAATGTACAACCTTACCCAAAGAACCACCACACCTGAACAACCATCTCCCCTGAAGGACAATTTCACCTGAATGTACAACCTTACCCAAAGAACCACCACACCTGAACAACCATCTCCCCTGAAGGACAATTTCACCTGAATGTACAACCTTACCCAAAGAACCACCTCACCTGACAGTACCACCTGATGAACCACCTTGACCTCTCACCTGATGAACCACCTTGACCCCTCACCTGATGAACCACCTTGACCCCTCACCTGATAAACCACCTTGACCCCTCACCTGATGAACCACCTTGACCCCTCACCTGATGAACCACCTTGACCCCTCACCTGATGAACCACCTTGACCCCTCACCTGATAAACCACCTTGACCCCTCACCTGATTAACCACCTTGACCCCTCACCTGATGAACCACCTTAACCTCTCACCTGATGAACCACCTTGACCTCTCACCTGATGAACCACCTTGACCCCTCACCTGATGAACCACCTTGACCAATCACCTGATGAACCACCTTGACAATTAGACCTAGACAATTACATCTAGAGGACCATTACACCTGGAGGACCATTACAAACCAAATCACAATGCAAACTGAAACTGTTTGACATGATTCCATGACACATGACATGTTGGTTCTGACACCAAAAGAAAGTGAAAATAGAAACATTCATCTGGACAAGTCTTACCTGGCTTTTGTTTTTTGCCTGTGTCTGCAGAAAAAAAATAATTGAAAAAAGGTTAAATGCACAAAAAAACACAAATGAAAGAATTCAAAGGTTAAATTTGATGTATTCCAACCACTTTTTACTGTGTTCATTTCAAGAAAGATTCTACTGTTAACACATCCATGTTATGATGAGAGAAAATACCTTACCTATTACGTGCAATGTTATGTAGCGTACAATGTCTTCCTTAGCACTGATCTGACATTCATATACGCCAGCATGGACTGGTTGAACATCACGGATATGTAGGTCCCACTCAGGATTTGCGATCTGTGTGGATCTCCTTTTAAGGAAATATCGACTGTCAGGAGCATACAGGTATTCTCCAATTGTGATTGGATGGAGCTGAGTCACTTTCTTCCATATAACCTGCAAGTGGAAGCAGTTAACAGTTGGTTACTATGCTGGGGAGATTTGGAAAGGGATATATAAACATGATAACGTACAAGCAACAGCATGTCCTGTCAGTGGGTGATTAAATAAGACATCTCACTCACTCACTCACTCACTCACTCACTCACTCACTCACTCACTCACTCACTCACTCACTCACTCACTCACTCACTCACCCACTCACTCACTCACTCACGTACAAGCAACAGCATGTCCTGTCAGTGGGTGATTAAATAAGACATCTCACTCACTCACTCACTCACTCACTCACTCACTCACTCACTCACTCACTCACTCACCCACTCACTCACCCACTCACTCTCACCCACCCACTCAAACAACCACTCAACCACTCAAACACTCACTCAACCATTCAACAAATCACTCAGTTAACCACTCAACCGCTCACTCACTCACTCACTCACTCACTCACTCACTCACTCACTCACTCACTCACTCACTCACTCACCCACCCACCCACCCACCCAAAACCCATCCACCCACTCAAACAACCACTCACTCAGTCAAACACTCACCCATTCACTCAACCACTCACTCAACCATTCAACCATTCAACAACTCACTCAGTCAAACACTCACCCATTAACCCACCAACTCAACCACTCACTCAACCATTCAACAACTCACTCACTCAACCACTCACTCACTAAACCACCCTCCCACCCACCCATTTTTAAGATGCAATTGTTTACATTTATTTTACATGTGTGCTCATGATATTCATATTCATTTAAAACCTGGCTGAAAATGATACATACACATGGATATATTCAGTACTATCGGTATGACAACATCTCCATGCAATCAGTGACAATCAGCACTTTCAAAGCTCCAGTGGTATAATAATCATGACATAGACACTCCGTGGACCTGCATTATTGAGGAAAGCAGTGGATCAGGGTAGAATATATACAAGCTGGGATTGATGAAATACACTATGCACTGGCGCAACATAATTATTTCTTAACATACAGTTTTGTACTTTTCTTGGAATATACATGTATGTAGAATATATTTTTCTGTCCCAAACCTACAAACTGTGCAGCCTAGAAGTTAAAGCGCTCGCTCATCACACAGAAGGCCTTGGTTCGTTCCCCACATGGGTAAAAATGTGAAGCCCTTTTCTTGTGTCTCCTGCCATAATATTGCTAAAAGTGGGGTAAAACATACATACTCACTCACTCACCTCACTGGGATTAGAATAAAAATGTAACCTTAGCAGGAAGTTTGTTGCACATCCACATGTGCTCAGTGATTGTTTGGAGTTATCTCCCTTTCACCACATGACACTTGTTAAGTGAGGCAATGCAATGGAAAGACTGCAGGTTTATAGCCCACATGAAATAGTACTATGGCCATATGTTTATCTACTCATGCCTTTATGCAAAACTGAATGTTATTTTCAAATCATTACCAGTAACTCTATTCTGTCCCAGAAACAAAACCATGAGTAGGAATTGTGTTAAGCCAGATTTAGTAGGTATATGACATACTGATGCAGTTTAAGCCATCCATAAGTAATCGTTTGGCTATCACACATATTTTGTATGAAGAGATGAAGAGAAACCCTCAAGGATAAGCCAGTTATACCCTACACCACAACGTGATTCCAGGATAGAATACCAGATGCTAGATACTTACTACTACTTCTGAGACAGAAGTGAGTGAGTGAGTGAGTTGTGTTTAAAGCCGCTTTTAACAGTATTCCAGTTATATCACGGCGTGTCAGCTTAATGTTGGAGGAAAGCCCGAAGTGATGCAGGTCTCAGACGTTTACCACTTTGGTGAAAACCCAGGAGCACTGTATGGTGCTGACAAACCTAGAATCATAATCGGGGAGAACTGGGATTCGAACCCACAATCATAGGTTTCTGGCGTGCCCAAGGGATGCAACTCTGCACGGCGAATCACGGCGAATCACGGTGCCTTAGACAACTGGGCCACCCATGCCCCCTGTGAGACTGAAACCACAACGGGCATATGATGATGGTCACAATTAATGCCTGTAGGACAGGGATAGATATTGTCAGACTTACAGATGTAGTGCTAGGTTTTTTAAAAGGGTGGGTTTGGGTTCACAAATTTGAATTCTTTATTCATGGATGAAATTACATTTTGAATATAACCTGCAGCAGGGGTTCACAAATTTGAATTCTTTATTCATGGATGGATTCACATTTTGAATATAACCTGCAGCAGGGGTTCATAAATTTGAATTCTTCATTCATGGATGGATTCACATTTTGAATATAACCTGCAGCAGGGGTTCACCAATTTAACATGGATGGATTCACATTTTGAATATAACCTGCAGCAGGGGTTCACAAATTTGAATTCTTTATTCATGGATGGATTCACATTTTGAATATAACCTGCAGCAGGGGTTCACCAATTTAACATGGATGGATTCACATTTTGAATATAACCTGCAGCAGGGGTTCACAAATTTGAATTCTTTATTCATGGATGGATTCACATTTTGAATATAACCTGCAGCAGGGGTTCACAAGTTCAAATTCTGAATCCATGGAGGGATTTACATTTTGAATATAACCTGCAGCAGGGGTTCACAAGTTCAAATTCTGAATCCATGGAGGGATTTACATTTTGAATATAACCTGCAGCAGGGGTTCACAAGTTCAAATTCTGAATCCATGGAGGGATTTACATTTTGAATATAACCTGCAGCAGGGGTTCACAAGTTCAAATTCTGAATCCATGGAGGGATTTACATTTTGAATATAACCTGCAGCAGGGGTTCACAAGTTCAAATTCTGAATCCATGGAGGGATTTACATTTTGAATATAACCTGCAGCAGGGGTTCACAAGTTCAAATTCTGAATCCATGGAGGGATTTACATTTTGAATATAACCTGCAGCAGGGGTTCACAAGTTCAAATTCTGAATCCATGGAGGGATTTACATTTTGAATATAACCTGCAGCAGGGGTTCACAAGTTCAAATTCTGAATCCATGGAGGGATTTACATTTTGAATATAACCTGCAGCAGGGGTTCACAAGTTCAAATTCTGAATCCATGGAGGGATTTACATTTTGAATATAACCTGCAGCAGGGGTTCACAAGTTCAAATTCTGAATCCATGGAGGGATTTACATTTTGAATATAACCTGCAGCAGGGGTTCACAAGTTCAAATTCTGAATCCATGGAGGGATTTACATTTTGAATATAACCTGCAGCAGGGGTTCACAAGTTCAAATTCTGAATCCATGGAGGGATTTACATTTTGAATATAACCTGCAGCAGGGGTTCACAAGTTCAAATTCTGAATCCATGGAGGGATTTACATTTTGAATATAACCTGCAGCAGGGGTTCACAAGTTCAAATTCTGAATCCATGGAGGGATTTACATTTTGAATATAACCTGCAGCAGGGGTTCACAAGTTCAAATTCTGAATCCATGGAGGGATTTACATTTTGAATATAACCTGCAGCAGGGGTTCACAAGTTCAAATTCTGAATCCATGGAGGGATTTACATTTTGAATATAACCTGCAGCAGGATAGGGCACATAGATAAAGTACATTAGTATTTCAATAGTATGAAAGTTCTGTTTATAAGTTACATGTCATTTGGGTCAATAAATTATTTTAAAGTTAGTGGGTTCTGAACCACGTGAATCAGATCTCACGCAAGTTCTACCACTGGGCTTGTACTCAGGAGATGAGGGGACACTGTGGACGATGGCGCCACAATTCAATGTACAGAGTTGCATTCCTTACCTATGCCAGGATACGACAACAATGAGTTTGAATCCAGAAATAGAACCTTGTTAGTCAAGACCATATGCCCATGCTCATGGGTTTCACCTCAATGGTAATAAACATCTGTGGCTGGCATCTATTAGATTATCCTCAAACACTAACATGTCATGATATTGAATTCATGTCAATTGTATTATTGTTAAAAGCAGATTTTAAGCCAATAGAAACAAGAGATGACAGTAGTAGAGACTGGTGACTCACAAATTTTGGTCCGAGATTTTCTACAGCACATGGTAAGATAGCTTCCTGACCACTCTCAACTGTGATGTTTTCAGGAGTGTCCAAATACTTAGGGTTGGTGTAGCGCAGAGGCCGAGCTGCAGACACTGCAACAAACAAAATATATTTAACAAACATGTTTACCAACAAACCAAACTTTCCTTAGAAATTTTGTCATGTTAACCATGTTGCAAAGTTTTGAAATTTATGTAATTAAACAGATTAGATATAGAAATTGCTAACCCTTAAATGTACTCTGAAACCTTGATAATCTAAATGTGTTCCAAATAAAATGGCTCAGATAACTATTTTCTTGATTATTAAATAGAGATATCATATTGATAATCATATTAATATCCCTTCACTGCCTGACCCCCCGATCACGTTAGTCGCATCTTACAACAAGCATAGTCGCCTTTTACGGCAAGCATCAGTTGCTGAAGACCTATTTTACACCGGATCTTCACGGGTCTCTCTGTAGATGAGGATTGTGGTCGAGAAATAAGACCATTATCTTAAACCAACTTAGTAATAAGAAAATACAGTTCAGCGGTATGACATTTCTACCAAGCATCAACAGATGGGCGTTATAAATATGTAAATAATGTGTAAGTAATGTGTGATTTTGTGCATGTTTTTATAATGACTTTTTTGAGGATATGATCATTGCAGTATGATCAAGTCACTGTACAGGAAGCTATTCTGTGAATGTCATAAGCCTCAGGGAAATAGCATACAGCCCTGTTGATTTTCTTACCATATAGATCATATTTTTAATGAAATTGTTATTACTTTTCATTTGTTTGTCATCATAAATTTCTTTTGAAGCCAATTGATATTTCTTGCGAATATGCACAATATGTGCAAAGTAATCTGTCTGTATTGTTCTGACGCAAACACTTCAATCCCTTCTACACAGTGAGTACTCAGAGAAACATTTGCGTAGAAATATGGAGGGGATTAATTATAATATTGAAAAACTTGTACAAATGCAGAGCACACATTGGGCAAAGAATGGCCTTTTTTGTGCAGATGAATCAATATCATGCACCATTATTTCCCAGCAAAGTATGAAATCCATCAATATTAGGATTGACGAAAGTCTCAAGGGATATTATTTACGACACATTATTTCAAGTTGGACTACAATAGCCATTCCCCTCACTAGGACCATATATTCACAAATAATTTATCTGGTGCATGCAGTATTGTTGGATAATTAGCTTACTGAAGCATTACTTGTAAGATGAAAAGATCAAAGGTTGGAAACACAGGTAATCCATCTACCTGTGGCCATATGGTCTTTCATCTCTCCGACTACACGGACACAACTGATTAAGGCACACTTCACAAGTCCTGGGAATGGAGATTTGGAATGTAAACATATTCTCCTTGGACTCTCCCCTGGGTTAGTTTCAGACTGAACTTGGGGCGGTCGGGTAGCCTAGTGGTTAAAGCGTTCGCTCGTTACGCCGAAAACCCAAGTTTGAGTCCCAACATGGGTACAATGTATGAATTCCATTTTTGGTGTCCCCCGCCGTGATATTGCTGGAATATTGCGAAAAGCGGCATAAAACCATACTCACTCACTCACTGAACCTGGACAGAAAAGAAGATTCTTAAAGGACTTTGCAGGACTTGGTCCTATTTTTTCTACGTAAATATGAAGGGGGGTAGTCCAAAGACTGGTCCAACCCAACATATTTTTAAGTTTTCTGCTGTGGTTCATGGTCTGTCTTGAGATCGTTCATCCTTGATCATCTAGTTTATAATATCGCCATTCCATTAGGATAAATAACCGGACCAATTGCTTACTAAAGCTTCATTTTGCACTAGATTCAAATTACATGATGCTGAAAATGAAAGCACATACGATTGAGAGTAATTAAGAAATTAGCCTATGATACAGGACAGGTGAGGGTGACATCACTTCTGAAGTGAAGGATCCCAGGGTATGTGGAGGACAAGCATTCAGTCGTTAACCTTGGCGGGATGTTTTAGCCAAGGCTGATGGAATCTGTTCATCAAGCCTCCATTTATCTTCAAAATTAGAATAAGTGTGTCTGTGATCTATATATGGAGAGCATGAGACCATTTTACTATCTTGGATTTATCTTTGTCTACATCCAAACCAGACATATTTTATACATGAAGCTTTGGAACATTCTCTTCATTGTATTTGTAAAAAGGTTATAAAGGTAGGGTATTCGGAGGTAGAATAGGTCCCCCGAACATCATGCCTGTCATAAGAGGTGACTTAAATAGGCATCAAGTGGTTTCCAAGTGTGACTGGCTGATTGTGTATGATAATACACCATTTGTGTGGATTATTGATCAAGTCATGACAACCATTTAGTCTGATGCAGACAAGGGGGCATGAAGCCATCTATGGCTGCACAAGTCGCTTTACAGATCTGCATCCTGAAGCCATGCAGGAACCTATATAGTCATGGTTTTGAGTCAAAAGTTTTCCATTATTGTTTCTTGGTTTGTCAGCACCAAAATCATGTTTGTGGGTTTCAAAAAGTGGTTAACATTTAACACCTGAAACCTTCAGGCTTTTTATTATATAAAGCTGACATTTACAGTGATTTAAGTTAAATACAGTTGAAGGAATATCAGAATCACAGTTTACAGCAGTATTAAGCCTGCTCACTAGCTCGCTCAATCGCTCACTCACTCACTCACTCACTCACTCACTCACTCACTCACTCACTCACTCACTCACTCACTCACTCACTCAAGCCTGGACCAGTCAAACCAGGGAAAGGTATATTGAGCAGCAGTACATTCAATAAAGCAAGCCACTGAGCCTGACCACCCTTGTACAACCAACACATGGGGACCTATTCTAACCCAAACTCCACCTACAGGGTGTAAAGATGTGCCACATCCTGCACTTGTGACTGTTTGCTGTTATTTCTGTAATTGTATGACAAGGGTTTTGAATAACCTGCTTGTTAAAAGACAAAAATGCTGCACAAACTATTTGGCCAATTAACCTGAACCACGCCCCAAACCGGTGGTTAATTGGAAAGTCTGGTTCATTTCTGTAATTAGACTGACACACGTTAACAGATTTGGCACCATGTGATACAGCTCTACCTTTAAACCAGGAGGAGTAAATACTCTGGAACTTATTTTTTCATCCTTGTACCATTGACTGTGCAATTCCTTACTATCCAGTTCTTTAACAGTTTTCACCATATCCAGAACCCATAGGCTTAATGTCGTGTCCAAGATTATTGCACTTATATAACGACATGCATGCACATGTGTGTGTGTGTGTGGCTGCTTGTACTAGTCCGGACTGATGCCAATTTATAGTGCTAGCACACTGAGATACAATGCTGCAGTATAACATGAATACCCCACTCAGACACAGTATACTGTCTCCGAGTCGACCAGTCCTTGTTTTAGCCCCTTAATGCCGAGCGCCAGACAGGGTAAAAACAAGTACCATCTTTTAATGTCTCCAGGTATGACGCAGTCGGGGATCGAACACCGGACCTTCTGCTCTCTGGGCGGATGCTCTACCTCTAGACCACGGAGGCGGTCCTCCAGAACCCATAGCTTCTTTGTGACTTATAAAAGTCACAAAAGATGAGATGGTAAATTTCTTCAGAAATATTAAATGAGAGGCATTTTATTGTTCGTGTGTATTTTGAAATGGTTCAAGGAATCTGTGTATTGACTATGATTCACCATGAATGTTTAACAGGATTACCATGTGTAACAGGCTTTTAGGGATACAGACCAACCCCCAACTCAACCCCTGAAATCGTGTTTCCTTTTGAGAAAGCCGGACCCCTAAGTATTAAAAACAGGTATTGGGTGTATTTCATCAAGTAAAGAATGACTTAGTGAGTGAATGAGTATGGTTTTACACCACTTTTAGTAGTATACCACTAAGATCATGCCGGGGAACACCAGAAATGAGCCTCACATATTTTACACATTTGGGGAATCGAACTCAGGTCTTCAGCATGACGAGCTAACACTTTAACCATTATGCTTCCCTAACGTCCTGGTACAGGAAGAAGAGAACACACATTGTGATCGATTTTAATTACTTTGGCCCAATAAACTGACTTGAGGTGAGTGTTTAGTAGCTTCATTGGCAGGGATGAAATCTAATAATTAATTTATAATGGCCTTTGATAGTGGTTTTCCATCATGCCTTCACACTCTGCTTTTGCAAATTATGTTGTGGCATAAAATGAAAGGAAATGATTGTGAAAGTTCTTTGTCAATCAGAGCTGAAGTCTGACATTTATATTCTGAAACATACATAAATGGTAGCATATCAAATTATTGCAGATCAAGCTATTGTTAACTTCTTTGGAACATGATACGTTTGTCTATTAGTTCCAATTTTCAACTTTCTATTTCTTTTCCCCCACAATTTTATAGTAACAGGAATATGCAGATGGGGAATTAATATAGTTTGAGTGTCTCAATGGATTTAGCCCAGATTTCAAATGAGACATTCCCAACTTGAAAAGTAATTGAATAAGAAAACATGACAGTTTTAGTAATATTTCACATTGTAAATCAGATTTGAACTGAAATATTTAAATCAAATTTGAACTGAAGTGCTCTCAGAAAGTGAAAAATGTTGCAAAATGGAGCGCTAAACTTCCCAGCCATGTCATTGGTTTGGACCAATACTATTAAGTTCCTGTCAGGCCAAGAAAGGTATGGCGTAGTATGTCACATTTTCATGTTACGGGAGCCTGTCTTTGTCACATTGTAATCTGCAATTGGACTCTATCTCAACCTGAGCATTAAATTTGATTGATTTTTCCTTGCAACCCCACACACATCAGTTTTACAATGCCCATTTTCATGCAGCCAGTTCTCATGATTGTTTTCAAGGAGATTGGAGCATGTATGAGAATAGCAGTGCTGATGGCGAGATCTCGGAATTGTCGTGTTGGTCCCACGCACCATATGCCTGTTTCCTGACAACACAGCTCTCCAAAACCATCAACAGTTGTTACTTAATCCACAAATTTATAGTAATTCCATAATTGTGGAGCCATATTCATATACAAAAATAGCTTATCGGATCTGTTACGGTTTTCCTGATTAAGGCTCTACCTAC